CACCGATGCTGCCGGCATGTATCGCGACACCGAGCCGAGATGGCGGGACGTGCGGCCCAGGCGAGGCAGCATGGATAGGGGCGGTGCAAGCAGAGAGCGGCCTGCCAGCATGATGGTTGAGGTCGGTGCTCTGGGTGCTGCCCTGGGTGCTGGCCTTGGTGCATATGCCGATCCACGGTCATCCAACAAGGAGATCGGCGGACCTCCACCTAGCACGAGAGGTTGGGACAAGATTCAGGATATGGGCAGGACTAGAAGCGCTCGGATTGCTCAATCACCAACGAGGTCTGGATTTCTGGACCCGAGGGATCCGTACTACGTTCCACCACGAGCTGCCTCGAGGGATGGTCGACCCCGAGCGAATTCGAGAGATAGCCGTCCGCTGGCAGTGCACCAGGATCGGCCGAATGAAAGATCTGGATATGATGATTACGACTACACCCGCGATCGGGAGTCGCGGCGGGAGAGGCGATCAAGCGTCAACCGGAGAAACGATCAGAGTATTGAACGCCGTGGCTTCGGCATCAGAAGCTCAAGCCGCGATGGATATGGACGAGGCAGCGATGAGAACTTTGCTGTGCAGAAGGCTCATCCTCGGGACTCTGCATACGTCGAGCAGCACCGCCGCGAACCTGCGCCGGAGATATCGCATCAGGACTATGGACGCCTGGAGCAGGAACGCAAGGATCGAGACAGGGTGCAGCAGACCGATCGCGGCTATGACAGCAATTATGAGCGCGAGCGGCCTCGTGAGCACGAAAGAGCTCGAGAACGAGACCACAAGTACGACGATCGTCAAACTGACCGCGAGCGCGAGCGTCAGAGAATGCTGGAGCGAGAGCCAGAGAGGGAGCACAGACACCACCATAGGCGCGAGACTGCGGATAAAGAGAGAGAGTACCGCAAGGAGAACGGAGACAGCTCAAGCTCGGGTGTGGCCAAGGTTGCTACGGGCGGCTTGGCTGGCGCGGCTGCGGCTTTCGGGCTGAACAAAATCTTTGGCAGTAACGACAAGGATAAGGATCGCGATTCTGACAAAGAGAACAAGGAGAGGGAGAGGGAAAGAGAACGTGATCGTGACCGGGCGAGAGAGAAGGAACGTGAGCGCGAACGTGAACGTGAACGAGAGCGCGAGAAGGATAGAGAGCGGGAACGCGACCGCGACAGAGAGAGGGAGCGAGAGCGAGAGCGTGATCGCGACCGGTATGATGAACCACCTCGAGCAGGTGATCGTGATCTTGAGAGGCGCACGCGGGATCAGATGTCATACAGCGATGATTCAGCTCCTCAAGATCGTCCGCACCGCGACCCATATGCCGACCAGGAACAGGGCTTGGGTTTCGCGTTTGAAAAGCAACCACCGCCCAAGGCTGGACAATCATCACAACCTGATAGAAGGGACCGTGAAAAGGACAGGACTGCGGATCGTGACCTTGAACGCGACCAAGATGGCTTCGGGAAGTCAGGCAGTGTGGAGATGCCCAAGCCCGCTATTGATCCCGATGAGGATTACCGAAGGCGGATGGAGCAGGTCCAAAGAGAATTGGGTCGTGGGTCACAAGATGAAAGAGACGGGAATGGATCCGGATCTGATGCGGACCGGGAGAGGAGGAGGCGTGAACGTGAGGCACGAGCACGCGAGCGAGAATTCCGTGAGCCCAAACTTGATGCTGGCCTCGGTCTTGCAAGCTTTGACACCAGCGCTCCACCGCCTCAGCTGAGAAGGGACGTCGACGAGGTATCTCAGGCAACCGCGCCGAGCGTTGTCGGAGACCTCAAAAGAAAGCCAAGTATTCTTGACGGTCCAATGACTGCTGAGCCTACGGCTCAAATCATCGACAACAGCTACTCAGATAAGCGGGAGAACAGGGTGAGAATAGTCGACCCTCCGACTGAAGAGGAGGAGAAAAAGCCAAAAGGGATTCTGAAGAAGCCGACGGACAAGTTTCCTGAGGACCCGAATGCGGTGAGGGAGGGTGTTGCACCCTTGAAGGATGTAAGCAGTAGCAATACCAAGAATGGCTCGTCAGCTGGAGGTAAGGGTGATGCTGACAAGGAGCAGGCCACGAAGAAGGGCATCCCGCCGGGCGCACGCTGGACCAAGATCGATCGACGTCTTGTCAACCCTGAGGCGCTTATAGAAGCCAATGAGCGCTTCGAGGAACGACTCGACTGTGTCATCGTTCTGCGTGTCCTCACGAAGGAGGAGATACAGAAGCTCGCGGACCGCACGCGAAAGATTAGAGGTATGCGCAATCCTTCTGCTTTTGTCGAGCAAGACCGGGAGGAGGTGGGAGATGGGCGGCGTAAACGGCTACAGCACACGAGCACCAATGATCAGGTCATCGAGGCTCCGTCGGGCTAGCAGTCCGCGGACGACGTGCTCGAGTCTTCTGCGAGATACGCACAGCAGCGCCACGAACGAGCTCTGAAGAGGAAGGAAGTCGCAAGGAAGACCAAGAAGCTGTGGACGTTTCACGGTGGTAGAGACTTGCGTGATGTCTTTAGACATGTGACTGCGCACTCACCTCCTGCAACGCGCGCACGCATATGCTTTCCAGAGTATTCACTAACCAATCATTCTTATTCAACAGATGACCGTTATGAGGAAGAGCGCGCCGAGCGGAAGGCTCTTCGCCGGCGCGAACGGAGCAAGGATCGGAGGGAGCGCGATGAGTACACCGATGACAGCGAGGACGAATATGCTGAGCGTGTGCCAAAGATGCTCGAAGCGCCTAGCACGGCGGGCGCCTCGGCTTCGACCTATGACGCAGGTGGCAATGCGGATTTTGTGAGGGAGGCTAAGGACCGAAGGGAGCAGAGAGAGGGTGAGAGGGAGAGGCAGTATATGAGTGGTGGGCTGGGAAGGCGGCCGGAGGAGCAAGCCTATGCGCAGCAGCAGTATCCAGGGCAAGGATACCCGCCGCCGCCACCAGGGCAGGGTCAGTATTGAGCGGTATGAATGCGGCGATTCGCCGCACTGACGACTTCGATCACGGCATGGTTATGAAAGCATACAGGGCATAAGGAACGAGCGCAAGCGTACACTGCACGATCCGAGCAAATCATTTGGTATACCATGACGATGCGAGCATTAAGGACATGATACGATATGCGAGACTGACCGCTGTCTTTGTGGCATAGATCAGGGGCGTCCGAGCGGAATGTCATAAGTAGCACACTGCAACGGCCACTCATGTTGTTTAAACATTTATTTGCGATATTCATGATACTTCCATTCTTCTGCATCCTCAGCTCACTCGTATTTGATTGTCTCGGGAGCTCAAGATTTCGGATCGTGCACCGGGAGACCGGCTAGACCCTTCGGACCGGGCAGGAGGAGTTGTAGAACAACATGCGGGGTCGACAGAAGTGTCCAGAGAACGATACAACTTCATGTAGACGATGATAATCATCACAACAGACACTTCGGCTCTCGGCCATATGAGCCCGCCAACCCAACGCTTCACGATGTAGGTATTGCAACTTCTCAGTTTATATCATAGCTTCCTGACCTCGCATTCTCCTCCTTCGCGATCTAAAGCACGGACACGAGCAAAATCATACTCCGTACTCGTTGTCATCATTGGAACTGGCGTAGCCACGATGCATGGTATAAACGGCAGTATGATCGGCCTTCACGCGAAAGATGAAGACTTGACGTTTCATGACTTGCCACCATTCTCGGAAAATGTGCCCACCGCTCCCTTGTTGCGGCTGAGCCTCAAGAAGTTGGTGAACGGTGATGAGGCCGAACAGGAAAGACTGTGGAGAGCATGCTGCGACGTAGGCTTCTTCTACTTAGATCTCCGAGGTGGTCGAACCAACAAACGGGACAGCGTCAATTCTGCAAGTGAGGAGGACGTTGATGGTGACGCTCTCCTCGGACATGCAGATGAGCTCTTCGAGCTGGGCAATACGCTCTTTGACCTGCAGTTCGAGGAGAAGCAGAAGTATGATCTGAAGCCGCGAGGCAGCTACTTTGGGTACAAGGCTACCGGTGCTGGTGTAGTTGACAAACATGGTACCAGGGATCGGGTGGAGTGGTACAATGTCTCGAAGGATGATATCCTAGGTATTTCTGGAGACAGGCTACCTGCCCCAGAGATCTTGCAGGACGAAGGCAATAGAACGCTGCTGCGGACGCACATGCAGCGAAGTCACGCCATCGTCATGATGCTCTTGTCGCAGATGAATGGCCGGCTGGGCTTGCCGCCGAATACGCTCCAGAACCTGCACAAGATCACGAATAACTCAGGCGACCAAATCCGCATCATCAGAAGCCCGCCTCAACCCGACCAAGACGATACCAAAAAGTCCTTGGGCCAGCACACAGACTTCGGCTCCATAACCATCCTCTTCAACCGCCTTGGCGGCCTGCAAATTCTCCCTCCAAATTCCGACCAATGGTCCTACGTAAAACCTCTTAAAAATCACTGCATCGTCAACCTCGGCGACGCGATGGTGCAATTTAGCGCAGGCATTCTACGTTCGAATTTGCATAGAGTCGTGAATCCGCCGGGGAAGCAGGCGGGGACCACGAGGATGAGTCTGGTGTATTTTGCGAGGCCGGAGGATGGGGTGCTGATGAAGGCTCTGGAGGGGAGTGAGAGGGTCGAGGAGGCGAGGAGGGAGAATGGAGTTGGTGAGGAGGAGGATGTTACGGCAAAGGATTGGATTTTGAGGAGGGCGTTGGGAAGGAGGGTTGGTGGGGATTATGAGAATAGTGGGGGTAGTGAAAGTGATAGGGTGAAAAGTTAGGTACATGTAAATTGAACGGGCTGTGAATAGTCAGTCATACGAGGACTGTACATTTAGTTATGCTCCAGGCAATGTGAAATTCTCTGGTTTGCCTCTCTTGTGAGCAAAATAACAGGTGCCACTTTTGAGCGATTCTTTCAGTGCGTTTTGAGACAAGAGATATGCCAAATTCGAGAGGACTAAAACCATTTTGCAAAAGAACAGGAGCTTGAGGATGGATTACCAGCTTCATTCGTAAGTGAACCTGACCCGATTTGAACGGATGACCATCTGGAGATCCCAATTTCATCTGTAGAGATCAGACTGGAATCAGATACGCTACCACTGCGCCACAGGTCCAAATTATTTGGGGCTTTGCTCGACTATGTCGAACTGTGATTAGCGGGTAATATCACAAAAATATATATTGCGCAGTAAAATCTCCCGAGGGTAAACCATCACTAAGATAGTAAGTGAATGTTGCTTAGCGAAGCTGATGCCTATAACCCATCTGCAGCACTATTGTCATGTATTTTTGCGTTTGCGGGCCGAAGTTTTGCTAACAGCCGAAAGGGACAGAAGACCAAACATCTCCATATTAATATAGGTGCTTGAACTTCAAATTCTTCTCACTTCCGATTACTTACAGACTACGACGAGGCAGCATCAGATGAGTGTGTAGCGATTGCTGCAAGACAAACTATATTCGGACGCGCTAATAGCAGGAGGGGGAAGAGCAGATGCTTGGATGAGCTCGATAAGGACTAGGACGAGGGGAAAGATAGTTTAAGCATTAATAAGCACGATGAAGGGAGCAAACATGCCTGAGCTTCGGGATCTGCAGGCAGGAACTAGTATCGGGCTAAGAGCCAAGTTTTTTTTACTAAAGAGGAGGCTTGACGAAGGTCTTCCCCCAAATATTTTCTCGCTATAGCGGCACGTCAAGACATGAAGCTTCAGAAACTCCCATGTGAGGTCGTCTCGAACCACCCGTTCCGACCAAAACATGACACTCCCAAGGAGCATTCAAACCAAGGAGCCTCAGACACGCTGGAGATAGCTGAGTCAGCCCATGCTACACCAAGACGGCCCTGGGAAGAGGAATCGAATCCCTTCGAGAAAAAATCATACCAGATGTGCCTACAGAGTGCGCTACATCTCCTGAGTCATACGCTGGAATCTTTTCCAAGATCTATTTCAGTTGTGTTGCCCGTTTACTGTACCAGGGCTATGAACGACCGCTGCAGTTGAACGATATCTGGGCGGTGAATCCAAAGCGTAGCGTCGACGTTGTGGTTCCTCGCTTGCATGAAGCTTTCCAGAAGCGCATGACCAGGTCCAGGAGGTTCAACACAGTTCTGCTGGCAATCTGCGACACTTTCAGAACAGATATGCTACTTTGCGGCTTCTGTCAGCTTGCGGCTGCTTGTTTGCAAGTGCTTATACCATGCTTCCTTCGCTACTTGATCATGTTCGCTGAACAAGCCTACACAGCACGCAATAGCGGTGTTGGCGCCCCTTGGCATGCCTTACAAAGTTGCATCCTGCTACGCCATGTCAACCACCGCAGATCTCAAAAGCACGTCGATCATGCCGTAAAATATTAAATCTTTCTCGATCTTGCTTTACAAGAAACGGACCTGCTTAGCTATAATTGATATCTGGAAGAGGCCATGACGGTCTGGATGGGTGAGGAGCTACATGTACCTGCCTGCGTCTGTGGATAACCCGTTCAAACAATGTCGAATTGATCTTATGCGCCCTTTCGTCCGCCACCCACTTGGCCAACCGCCTTGCAAATCTTCAGGTGCCGTTGGCGCCAGGTACGGGGACCACGTTTGTGGATGGCAAGAGTCTCAGAATCCACACCGTGCGTTCTAAACCTACTGTACCCGCGACTGCTATCCATGCATACCGACCTCCAACAGCAATGATCGTACGCCGTTGAGAAGGCAGGCGCGCTGCTCTTTGTCCCTTCAAGTCGCGGACTCGAATGCACCCGAGAGGACCTTGCCCGTATGAAAGTATTGCAGGTGTTGCTGGACCGAAAGAGGGGTCTACAAACTCTGATGACTCCGATGCTCATTGACAAGAAACCTTTGCCTTTCGTTATAATGTTTCAAGCAGACTAGTGTGGACCGCGGTACTCCGTTCACACAGCTCTGGAAATCGCTACCACTCCAGTCGAAGTGGCCAATCCGGTACGGCAGCGAGGGTGCGGTCGATAATCGAAGGGACGAAGCTTGGGATCCATCGAGAAGATGATGATCCTGGAGAGCGCCTCGCAAGACTGCCGATTCTGCAAGATGGGGTTGTTTTGGTCTGCAACCACGCGGTCCCTGTAACTCTGTCCGCGATAGGGTATGTCTGGTGCTGCTTGAGAGGGCCGATTAACCCGAGATTATCGCTGTATCAGCGGTGACCGACCTTAGTTCCCGAGTCGTGGCGCTTCGAAATTTGTCGTTGGCGTTCCATGTGTCACACCACTGTGATATAGGGTCCCAGAACTCCTTCAAGTACGATAGCTCGTTTGTCTCTTCAATGAATTGGCCTACCTGCATTAGACGGGTCGATTCAACTTTGCCTCGCTTCCACACAATCATACGACGATATTTGTCAAAATTGCAATGCTCGGGATAAGAGTCTCAGCTCTCACGATTGGGGCTTTGCTAGCCCTTGTACATCTAGGACTCGCATGGACTTATTGCAACTCAGGTATCTACCGTGGTTTTTTTCTTCTCGCCGAGCCATCATGTTGACTCTTATCATTAGGCTGGAATGATAATGACACCTGCAAAAAGCCGAACTTAAATTGCTATTGCGTAAGTGTAGGCCTATAATCCGTACCTTGCTTAGTAGTAAGTCTAATCGCAAATTGTAGTGTCGCTACGAACAAGTAGGCCCCTTTCAGAACCAACATCATCGAGCCAAGACACTACGAAGGATTCATAAATACAAGAGCAAAAACCATAATGGCCCTTCGTACCCTCGGCCCCAAAGCAGCCGCCGCCCTCGACGAAGAACTAATGTCCACCGGCGCCTTCTCCATTGACCAACTCATGGAACTCGCCGGCCTCTCCGTGATCCGCCAGCGACACCACGTTCCAAGGACGGGAGCACTCGATGGTGTCTGGATGGGCGCGTGATTGCTTGTGCACCATAGCGTTGTCTTTGGGCAGAAGCTAGCGATGATGTACGACCCGTTTGAATGCCTCTGGACAGCGATGGATTGTGAAGAAGAGAGGGGGATGCCGAATGAACGTCTGGATTCGAGACAGGAAACTTAAGTCGTGGACACCACAAAGTTGGTCTCTCTGACTGAATCTTTGCCATCCACGGGACCTGGTTCGGAATACTAGTACTGACCCACAGCAGTACAGCATTGGCGCTGCGGTCGACGCCTGCGAAATAGAGCTGACCTGAAGGCGCCGCCGCTGCAGATATCGTTGGGGGCAAAGCCGATCGAATCTCGGCATGCGTCGCGCTGTTAGGACGCGACGTATCGAAAGTCTCTCTCGGTAATCTTTGGCGTGCCCTTTGGAACGTCTGAGGCTCTAAGCCACGCTCTAGTGGCTCGAGAAAATGCTTCGAACGACGCTTGCGCTGCGGCCGCGTCAGTGATTATGTTCACAGATGGCTAATAATGGAGTCTGCTCACATTCGTACGTAACTAGTGTGGGATCTCACGAGCAAGAATTGTAGATCCTAGTAATGAACGAGAAGCATTCATGCCAAATGGAAATGATGCACAGAGCCGCATGATGCCGCATGGCCGATGTCCAGGATCACCGAGTGAGAACGCCTACCGCACGAGGAGTGTTCTCAGCTCCTACTATTGCTGAGGGGTTATGGACTATGGATTTGCTGATATTACTGCGTACCCAAGGTAGCCCATGCGCAGTTTGACGTCTGAAGCCGTCGTCTCCTTTCCCACCAGCAACGCTGCTTGATGGTCTAACACAGATAACACAGCGCTCGACTGGAACAATGCGAGGGGAAATGTGACTTTCACTAATGACGTAGACAGCGAAACCTGATGGTCAGGCGTGCGCACGAGTCGCAAAACGAGAGGCTGTGCATCAAGGCTCGAATATTTGTTGGATTAGCTTCCTGGGCGCTATGCCTCTGGAGGCATGCTCGTACTCGGACAATGGGATATCGTCACGACAAAATGCATTTCGTGGATATGTGGCACCGCGCTTCACAAGTCTAGAAAAAAGATCAGGACGCAGCAAAGCTTGAAGTGAGCCACGCCGAGAGGACAGGAATAGGTAGACCAAAACGGTCACTTCGTCTCCATCGAACGAGGAATTCGATGGCTATACATAGGCAATCTACGAGGCATGACAGGGGGACGCTGTTTAGCGTGATCGTATGTCCACCCAAATTAGCAGTTCTTCCAATCTTTCACGGGTCAGTTACACGATTGACTAGCGTTGAAGGTGACAGCCAGAGGCCCAAGAGTGTGCCAAGGCACATGCACCAAACAAGACAGAATGTATATAAAGAAGGCGAAATCTCCTTTCGAACCATCATCAAGCAACACATCAAAGCAGAACAGTCATCACATCCAGCAGCAACCGCATCCAGCAGCAACCGCATCCAGCAGCCAACAGCAGTACCACTACCGCCATACAAGCAAAGCATCCCACCAATCAAAACAAAATGCAGTTCACCACCGCAGTCATCGCTCTCTTCGGCGCCTCTGCCCTCGCCGCTCCAGCTGTCAAGCGCCAGGAAAACAGCAGCTTCCAGATCAAGGACTTCACCGTGCGCAAACTCGACGGCTACGAGACCCAAGACATCAACTTCCACATCGTCTCCACAGACGGCGGCGAAATGGACTTTGAGTGCGCGCAATACGGATTCAACGGAGCCTCAGTGTCCGACAAGTTTGTGCAAGGCGAGATCTATTCTTGCGCAGAGAAGAGCACGTTTAGCTGGTCCTACACGTCTGGCGACTCCGTTGCAGGAAAGCCTGGTATTTTCAACTTGTGGCAGTCGGTCTCGAATAGCAAGGGCTATTACGGGCAGGCGAGCTTCGCGGAACCCGCTGGAAACGCCTGCCGGACGGGACCCAAGGGCCAAAGCGATGAGATCTGCACCATTCCTGCAGACACGCGCATCGTTATTGACTTGAAATCCGACAACTAAGAGTGTCTGGCAGAGAATTCGAAAGGGACTCTTTTGCAACATGGCTGTGTGGGTTCCGGCATGAGCAGCATTAGATAGATCGAACGGGGTTGGTGGGGAGCATTGATTCTATGCCTTCTTGTACGATAGGAAGAGCGACCGTTCTTTATAATATAAAGCTTATCTGTTTTCATGTCCCAGCATGTCATTAACGAGGGCCAGTGACT